TAGCTGTTGCTGCAATAGCTGCTGCTGCAATAGCTGTTGCTGCTGCTGCAGCTGCCGTTGCTGCTGCAGTAGCTGCTGCCTCTGCAGCCGCTGCTGCTTTTGCAGTTGCTGCTGCATTTGCAGTTGCTGCTGCTTTAGGAGTTGTTTCTGCTGCTTTTGCTGCTGCTTCTCCAGCTGCTTCTGCAGCAGCTGCAGCTGCTGCGGCTGCTGCTCTTGCTGCTGCTGCAGTTGCTGTTGCAGCAGCAGCAGCTGCTGCTGCTGCTGCATCTCTTCGTATGTTGGCTCTGCCTGAAGCGGCAGCAGCACACTGTCTGGTGCTGACGAGGCCCTTGTATCAGCTAGTTCTTGTGCATCACTGCTGCTGCTGCTGCTGCTGCTGCTGCTGCAGCTGCTGCTGCTGCTTGTGGCTGCAGTTTCTTTGTCTTTGTCTTTGTCTTTGTTATATAAATTATTATTTTCCGGGGTGTCTTCGTAGCAGCAAAAAAGAAGAGAAGAGTGAGGCAGCGGCTCCATCAAGAAGCTCAGCAGCGCAGCAAAGTAGGGGTTGCTGTTCTCCCACCACAGCATCTCCTCCTCTTCCTCAGCAGCAGCAGCAGCAGCAGCAGCAGCAGCAGCAGCAGCAGCAGCAGCGGCAGGAGAGTGTGCATGCATGCATGTGAACTCGTCGTCGCTACCCAGCAGCAGATGAGCCGGCAGCGGCATCTCAGCAGCAAAAACTTCAGCTGCCTGTACACCCCAGCACCGCAGCAAATTATACTCAATATTTAGGATTGTTATTTCTTTGTCTTGCTGCTGCTCTGGCCACTCAAACGGTGGAGCCTGCTGCTGCTGCTGCTGCTGCTGCTGCTGCAGCTGCTTCCTCCTCTGCTGCTGCTGCTGCTGCAGCTGCTGCTGCAGTAGCCTCCTTCGTTGCAGAGCTAGAGGTCGGCCTGTCCGCACCACACAGCCAGAAACAGCAGCAGAAACGCCAGCAGCAGCAGCAGCAGCAGCAGCAGCAGGAGCAGCAGCAGCAGCAGCAGCAGCAACAGCAGGACGATATGGGTACGAAGCAGCAGCAACAGAATTCCAGCTAACAAAGGCATCAGCATTCTCCGCGTTCTCCTGTTTGACGTTGCTGCTGCTGTTGCTGCTGCTGTTGCTGCTGCTGTTGCTGCTGCTGTTGCTGCTGCTGTTGCTGCTG